CTGGAGGGTGCTGTCTGACAAGCCAGTGACGCTCAGGGGCAGGGGCCTGTGGGGGGCAGGCGTGAGCTGGGCCTCCCAGCCCCTTCCCTGCTGACCCGTCCCTCTGTCCCTCTCTGCAGGCTGCCTCTGCACTGTCGGCATCCTGACCTACGGGCTGATCAGCTTCAAGAGAGGCAACACCCGTCAGTCTCAGCTGATGATGCGGGCACGTATCCTGGCCCAGGGCTTCACCTTCGCGGCCCTCCTGGGAGGCATGGTGGTCACAGCCATGAAATCTAGAAAGTGAAATCAGGCAAGAGAGAATCTGCAGCCATGGGCGTGCACCCGCCAGCCCCTGCCCCAGCTGGCAGGGTGGATTCTGGCTGCGGATGGGAGTTTTCTGAAGGACAGGTGTGATGTTTCAGTGGAGCCAATGTCAGAGAGGCTCTGTGTTCCAGAGCACTGGAAATGCTGCTAATACACCTTTGTGATTAACCTGAAATTTGGGCTGTGGCATTTTTTGATTCCCTGAGAGCTTATCCTCCTACAACACTGGAGGCTGTGCCTCACTAAGGCTCTCCACCCCCATCAGACTTCTTTTCCCTGCCTTGGTGCTGTCCCAGTGTGTTAAAATTCTGTCCTGTGGGTCGTGGTCTGCGCTGCAGTGTGGCTTCAGTCAGGCGTTACACCAACGTTTGAGAAGTGAGCTCAATATATAGGAAGGACCGGTCCTGTTTATGGCTTGGTGCTGGGAGGACAGAGTTCATGAGCAGTGGGTGAGTTGTTTGGGGAGAATACGTAATCTGTTTGTTTGCAACCGGTGAGTAATAAAATGAATTGCAGCGAGATTCTGACTGATACTGGATTGCAGAGAATTGAGAAGCCAGAAGAGTAAACAGTGTAGGAAGGAAGGGCAGTGGGCACAGCTGCACCAAAGCTGTGATGATGCAAGCAGGACATTAAGAGATGTAACTCCTTGTGAAAACAACTTGGGAACTCGCATTTCCAAAACGGGTCCTGGACACGTTCTCTGGGACACACTGCTGCTTTGGCTGTGGAGTCGGTTCCTGCGCAGGTCACTGCTTTGCGTGAGCTGTAATTGGCTGCTGAGCCAGAGGGAGCTGCACTGCCTGTGTCGTGACAAACATAGTCATGGGCGGCTCCAAGTCCCACTGTTGGCATTGGATCTTTTGGATCATACCAGGGGTATCTGGTCAGCAAGGAAGCTTTGCTCTCCCATGTCAGGGCTGCAGAGTGGGGAGGGAATGTGGCTGTCAGATTTGTTCGTGTGTGGCTGTGGCAGCCTGTGCCCACCTGTAGGCAGAGTGTCTTTCTGCGGGGGAAAGGGGCACAGACCCTGCTAACCGTGCTGCGATGTGTCCTCATGTTGAGCTGCCTGGGGCGTTTCCAGGCTTTGCTCTCTGGATGCCTGCGTGTTGGTGCCTGTGCCCCGGCCCTCCCTGGCCTGCGGCAGCTTTGCAGCTGGCTGCCTGGCAGCTGATCCTGCTTTGCCCTTATAAGCAGCTCTGGAGGACAGGGTGAGGGGTAAACTCACTCAGCCCATGAACGAGCACTTGGTTTGTCACATCTGGGGAACCATGGTGCCAGCACGCCTCAACAAGGAGAGGAAGAAGGCTCTCACCCACCAGAGCTGACTTCTGAAATGCAAGGGTGATGGACAAGCCATTGCTGGTGCTGAGGAGGGTGAGCTCCACCTCTGCACCCGGAAGCCCTGCCTGCTGCAGAGCTGTGGCGCTGCCGGCCTCTGCTGGCTCGCTGCCTGCTCAGTGTGTCTTTCCCAGAAGAAACTGCTTTTGGCTGGCTCGCTGGGCCTTCCCGC